TTACTAGAAAATGAGGCGAAAAAACGTGAAGAACTCAGTGAGGAACGAAAGAAATGGATGGAACAACTGCACGAAAAAGAACGAGAGTTGGAGGAAGCTAGAAGTAGCTCGGAAGGAGAAGAAAAAGTGAAAACTGCTCAAATTTGGCATTATTTAGATGTTAATGAAACAACAAATGTTTAGATCAATCATCTCGCCGCTGAGAACGTGCGCTTAGCTAGTGAGGTTTTGAAAGCACATTCACAAGCTGAAAAAACTCTCCAGGCTGAAAAGGATCTCATCACCAAACAGTTCACTGAGAAGCTAAAAACGTGGGTTACTTTCTAGTGTACTCAAGCTACAAGGTGGGTCTTTGCATACTGCTGAATCTGCTCTTAGTCGATGTCAAACCACCTTTCAACTTGCATTGTTAAATTTCTAATTTCAAAATTAGCTCAAAATGACTCGCATATTTAGAAAAAGACACTAAATGTTCTCGAAAAGAAACATATCCATTTTGTTATTTCCCACAACGTGCTAAATGTCCATTAATTTTGCAAAGTTCTCTTCTTTTAGTGCCCAGAATGAGAGAGACAAACTAGCCACCGATATGGAAGCTCTACGGGCTAAAATGCGGGTAATGGAGTCAAGAATTGAAGATCAAAAATCGTCAATTGAACAAGCCGAAAAAATGTAAGGTTTCCTCAATGTCTTTTCATGCGAGAACCCGTCCTTTTAACCTCTTGTAGGAAAATTTGGCTTAAAAGTTTCTACATTTCTAGTTAGCTTTATTTTTTGCATGTAATTCTCACCGGATGAATTTGGGGGACCACTTCTCGCAACTTTATCTTTCTTTACCTAAACATTCCTTTTGCAGTAGAAAAGATGAGGTAGCATCCGTCCAAGCTGAACTTGATGCAGTCCGGAAGGAAAAAGCGAAATTAAAAGAGGAAATGGAAAAGTAAGTAAAGCGCTACATGTTTTGTTTTCAATTCATCTTTTTTCTTTTTCCTTTCCTTTCCCTCTTTTGGGATCTTCTCTATAGTTTGAGTGCGTTCAGATTAAGTTTAATGTATACAAGTCTTTCTGTTATCTTTTCTATTTGTGATGGGAATTAGGGCTTCAGTGGCGCTTTAGTGGCAGAATTCTTTTATTAGTTTGATATTTGCGAGAACTGACCCTCATGGCATGCTCTGGAATTGTTGCTTAGTAAATATGTAAGCTAAGCATCGTGCATTCCTTTAAAGTAACAGCAAATATTTTAGCGTCTAATGCCGAAGGACCAGTTCTCGCCTTTAAGCCTAAGTTGCAAATTCGTTTTGGTAAAGCTTTCTGTTTTACCTTTTTCCAAATAATAAGCCCAGTGAATCTTCGAGTCCACTTAGGCGCGCATAATTCAGAATAGCGTACGCCTTCAAATGCACAAATAGTGTGCTAACATTCCAGGAAAATCAGTAAATAAATTAACGGCCTCCTTTAGGTAATACTTTTTTTACCCTCACTTCCAACGGTTTTCTAAGTTCTGCACGTGCATCTCTTTTAGCCTTCGCAGTAATAACAATGGAAATCCGGTACCACCACCTCGAAGAACCATATCGAATATGTCCACCTATACATATAACACGCAAACGGACTTCAGCGAAATTGAGGATGTACATCGATTGAGGAGCGAGATCGATAAGTATGTTTTGTGTGTGGGCTTTTGTTTTGTTTTCTGATAGATTGTAGGAGTGTTCATTAGTTCTACAAACTTGGTTCGAGATTTAAAATGGTTGATAAGGAGCAGATCTTAGCAAAACCTGTGTGCTTTTCGGTTTATGTTTCAAAGGAATCAATATGATCGACAGGTCCCAAGCCATACGATGTATATGGGGAAAATGTTACAAAACTTAATATGTCCATTTGCAAAATCTTAATTTTCGGTTTTTCCCCTGTAAAATGCAGCAGGTTCTTCTGACCGCAAAACTCTTACATTTGAAGAAATTCAGTTAGCAGTCAATTTGCCTTTTCCTCCTCTTCTTTCTGGTATTTCTTCACCCTCGTTTTCGCTGTCTTGCTTCTGTATGTTTCTTGGACGCCGGGGTATCTGAACAAAACTTTGTTTCATTTTTACATTTTTGTCTTCTCCTTATGTTAGAGGTCTCAGAATCAGCAGGACGAGAAAAGCTTCTGTAAAAATAAAAATGGAGGTATTCGCACTTTGAAATTTAAAACAATTTCTGGAAAACCTAGCTTATGAATACTAAATTTCGTGTTCACACTTTTATAAGTATGCGTGTCGTGCCATGTCGACTGTATCACAAAAACCTTTCCAATTAACACCTCTTGATTTAGGTAAAATAGAAATCGTAGAGTATAAAATGTTTCCAAGATGAAAGAATAACTAGATCGAAATGTTTATTGTTCTTAAAA